TGCTGCTGCCGCCTCGGATTCTCTCCACCACGTTAAAAGCACGAAAGTTACATTGGCACAATCCTATGGCCAACATCGGGATTGATATTATTAAGATACGGATTTCACAGCAACGTCATGGCGAGCGCAACACGGATGGGGCTCACGAAGACGCATCAGCCGCTAGCTCAAATCGGTTCTTCCTTCTTCCTAGCTGACTGTCGCTGTTACTAACAAATTGCGAGATCCGCAATCTTCGTTGGCGATCCGCACGTTGTATATACAGAGCGACACAAACGCGAGTCACTATATTGTTCACACTACACTGAGTACCATTCAGTATTGTTACCGCCGATGTGCCGTCTCTTCGCGGTCAGATTCGCCCATGATGATGTAAAAATCATAAATATTGATAAAGACTGTACAGAGTCCCCTACGGGATGCGCCTTCGTTCAAGGAGATCAAAGTAATAACACAAGCTGCTGTTCCCCCTCTCTCACTCACTCTCTCTCTCTCTCTCTTTCCTTTTTTTCTGTCTTATCGAGATCCGTCGGGAATCAAAACCCAAATGTTGAAACGCAATATGGCACCCAATTGTACAACCGTTTACTGACGAAAAAAAATCGCATGCGTGTTGCACACTATCTTCCCTGATGCAATATATATTTCCTCCGCGAGATATATTTCTATTCTTATTTAGACGTAACACAATCCCACTTTCACACAAGTAACGATCCCTCACTATTTCGCGTCGATTTGCATCGACTTGCATCAACTCGTGTAAACGATAGACCATAGACACCATGGATTAGAGAAAGAGATCACTGGAGAATACAAAATTCTAGCTTAGTTTACATCGTGCGCTTGATATAGGTAATAACTAGTAACTTCTACTGAATATTATCTTAATTTTGGCGATACGTGTAAATATATATATGATCCGAACATTTAATTAATCATTTTGATGCATAATTGTGAACCATGTATTACGTTTATACAGCTCAATTTATGGCTTCTGTATGCATGTGCGTACGTATGTATATACCTAAAGGCAAATTTTCACGAGCTGCTTTAACCGGCTATTTCAGCGACAAAAGGATCACGTGATCAAAATGGACGCTTGATATTCATCAATTTGGACCACGTGATCCTTTTTGTCGGTAAAACAGCCGGTTCGTACATACAACGTGAAAATTTAGCTTGCCGCATGACAAGATGCGACACGGTAGCCAATAAGCTTACAGCTCCTGACTATGGCCGTAGTCCGAATCATGCTGACAACGCTCATGAGCATTGTTTGTCTTCGTTTAACATTTGACAAACAAGGATGAAATGATTTTTAAGCGTTGTGAGCGTGTATCGGACCGCGGCCTATATAGAGTCCTATATATAGAGAGAAGCGACATCGAACCCCCACCACTAGATCGGATCCCAGCCATCACTCCCTACGCCGCCATGTTTCGACCGCTAAAGTGTCGTAAACATAAACATACTCCAATCTCCAATTCTGTACTTCGATGTGAATAACAAGGTGTAGTGATTCTCTGTGTCATAACTTAGTTGAATGCACGTTCCTTTTGCATTCTGACAAGCGAGACACAACTGAAGTCGGCGACCACATCAGGCCACATGTGCAGCTACATGTAATCAGCTGCGGTCACAATATGGCTGCTTCACTTAGGAGGGGATACCCAATCAGAAACTCGGACAACAATGTCGCTTTTCTCTATATATATCTCCTCTCTAGCATGCAACTAATGTAGAATCGGCTTTACATGCGGTAAAACGATTTGATTGGTTGACGCAAGTGATTACGCTTGTGGTACGTTTATAACAATGTCGCTTTTCTCTATATATATCTCCTCTCTAGCATGCAACTAATGTAGAACCGGCTTTACATGCGGTAAAACGATTTGATTGGTTGACGCAAGTGATTACGCTTGTGGTACGTTTCCACTGAGCGCGTCAAGGCCCGTCTACAATACACGGAGTAAGAAGTAAGAGTAAAAAATTGACCAATCACAGTCGAATGTGAGAAGAATAATCGACTGTGATTGGTCAATTTCTTACTCTTACTTCTTACTCCGTGCATTGTAGACGGGCCTTTAATTGTTACCACAGCTGTTCACATATGCTATGTAACACAGCTGACACACGTAATCGCTAACGGAATCCACCGAGTACATTCTTTTTCTTCAATTTTGCTGCCTTCAGTTAATCAGGGATGTCAATATCGCCACAACAAAGTGAACAAAGTATAGAGTGTTGGAGGTTGGAGTATGTTTATTGTTTACGACTTACTAACTACGACACTGGTGTCCCAATATGGCGCAGGAAGTGATGGTAGGGATCCGATCCGGTGGTGGGGATTCGATGTCGAGTCTTTTTATTATATTGCTTTATATGTAGAACTCTAGCTCCCACCTATCGTATATAATTGATGTAATCAGCATTAAAATAGATGATCATTTGTGTGGAAACACATAAAATTAATTCCCGAATTCAGGAAGAAACGTTTCTATTTTTTTAATAATAATTTTATCGTATTCTTGAATATGCTAATCAATAATATTTTTTAGTAATAAAACTAAATAAATTAATTTATTTCTCCGAAATTTCACTGAAATTTTACTGAAATTTCATTGAAAAATGTTTCAAAACTTAAAACCGTGTTCGCGAAATTTCAACGAATTTTTTCCACTAGAGAAGCAATAAACAAAAAATAGCAATTAAAAATAGAACTGACACATGGAAATTAAAATATTTCTGATATAATTTCATATATCAATTTTGTAACAAATTGTTATAAACATTATTATAAATATTGACTGCAGAGAGAAAATATGCCAATGGATTTTGTAGGAAAATTAAATTACGAAAATAACATATAATTTTTACTTTTTCATATATATTATAAGTTTACTGATATCAAATTAAAAGAGTAAAAGTACTATAAACGTAGTTTTATATACATATAGTATTATATAGATATAATTTTATATATCTAAACGACTGTTCAGTTTTTAGTGCTTCTCTTTCTCGATCTGAGTTATTATTTCATAGCACTTATAAATGGAAACGGAGATACAGAAACATAGAAAAAAAAGAGTCAATGTTCCGGATGAAATTCGGAATTCCCTATGTACATTCTTATGTTAATTCTGTCGTCTAGCATTTATTATGCATTACGTAAAAAGATGGAGACGCGCCTTTTTGTATGTACCAAGGTCGCGATGAACGTAGTTTATTTTTTCACAATGATCGTCGCAAATTCGTTCGCTTTCTCGCTTAAAATTCTCCCTATTTACATTTTTAACAAATCCTTATTATTGCTGCTAACATTTAGAACAAAAAGTATAATGACAGAGAGATATCGAAGCGAAATATAAATTTTTTAATTTCTCAATTATATTTAAAAACAATATTTTTTAATATTAATTCCGTATATATAAGTTTTGTTTCATTAAAATTTTATAAATTTTAATTTCAATTTAATAAGAAGCTATTAAAGCTTTTTACATGCGTTCTGCATGGCATAGATATTCAAAGTATGCAAACGGCACATATATACTGTTAAAAGATTCTTGTTCTTAAAAAATTGATATCTATGTATAACTTCTTACGCGGAGGATCATCTCTGTGGAGGGGAGATTTTTATTTTTGCATTTTTTTGATCGATAACACGAGTACCGTGTTGATCATTTAAAATTGTGTCCTATATAGTATAATTCATTATTGTAGTACTTTTCTAATTCAAAAATGAATAAAACCGCAGTACAAACAAATAAAGCAATACGAGAAGCATAACATAAGTAGATCCTAGAAATTAATGGGCGACGTCCAAAACTTAAATGGATGTGAGGAAATTGACAATCTGTACGATAGCATAACTTTAGCTCGAAATTCCTGTAGAGTCACTAGACTGGGTTCAATGTCAGCGCGTAGGGAAACGAGTCTTCGATCGATTTGACTCCGACAATTAAATGAGACCTCGAGAAAGGTGTAGCCAAATGGAAAATATGGATATATGAGAGAATTAGTAAGAACGTGAAATGTTTACAAGTTTCTTGTGGTAGGGGCGACCAAGTCCAATCTCATCGTATAAAAGTCTTTGGATCTACTGCTCCAAGAAGAGTCAGTCTTCGTTCGAAAACGTGATCTCAGCAAGGTACGTTACATACCCGTATTTAAGACGAGAGGACAGAAACATAAATCAAACTTAATCAACTTTTCAAGGAACAAGACTTTTTGTCAAGTTGAAAAAGAATCCCTTGTGTTCAAATTTGCCTATACCATCGTAACAAAAATCGTATCTAAAAGATATTTTGAAGGTGAACAACAAATTTATAATTGAAAAAAGTAATAATTATAATATAATGTTATTTATTATTTATATTTATTAAATATAAGTTCGATCAAAATGATGATATCTGGAGACACGGTAGTGTCTCCTAAGACCCTAAAGACATGGCATGATATTTTTATATAACGATAATTTATCGTCAGAAATATTATACTTATTTTACGTGTTTATTATTTAATCTATGATGTCAAATGACGAAAGATTAAATTATCGTTATGAGTTATGACCATCTTGCTATTTGGAATAATTAATTACAACGTGGTTAAACATATATAGATACTTCTTTCTTTTAAAACTTATATATGTACGTTTCGTACATATACAGGGTGTCCCATTTTAATTGACCACCTCAAATATTTCAATAAACAGTGCATTTTAGGAAGAAATGTTTTAGACAAAAGTTTTGTCACTTCGAGGGGGTAAAATAAAGATGATAAAATGTAATTGCGTTATTAACGTTAAAAATAAAGAAATGTAACGATGTTACTTATCCGCGTTATCGAAAAAAAAAAGTAATTGTAAGGATAGTAGGCGTGCTATACACTTCAGATCGATTTCTGAAGCATCAAATCCATGCCATTGATCCTGGAGAAAAACTTTCCAGGTAACACGCATGTCTAAAAGATAGATACGTCGACAAAATTATAGTAGTGTTGATGGTAAAAGTGGGGCTGACTAATTACAAGATAACAGATGTCAAATACGTTCGTTTAAGATAAAATCACTTAATTTCGATAATTCGTACAATATATAATAAAACGTTTCCGACAATTTAAAATGAAATTGAGATAGGGCCGAAAACCGACCTTATTGTCCTTTTATCTAGAAATAGGATATAGCTAGGATGTAAAATCTAAAATCAGAATTATGGGAATAAGTAACTCGATCGTTACTTACGTTTTTTAGTATTTGGTAGAATATTTTATCATGAGAAAAAATGAACTGAAATATTAAATAATCACTGTGACGTCATTATCGCGTATTATCGTAGTTTAATATATAACATTACATTTATAACAAAATAACGGTAACATATAGCGGAGTTAAGCGCACGCTATAGAAATAGAAGTGTACAATACGAATTGTACTGATCGAGTTTATAAGAGATTGAGACAAATAACAAGAGAGTATAATTTTCTATGTTCTTTCAGATGGCGATAAGGTACATCGTGATGCTGACTACTATGTTGGCTGTAATCTACGTTAAAGCGGAGTCTGACACCGTCGGTCAGAATCCGCAACAGACCTTAGTTGCACCTGCGGTATCATCGGAAGTTGCACCGCTGAAACTGTACCAGGCGGAAGCGGTATCAGGCGAAGTAGCCGAGACGCAACCGCGTAACAAAAGAGCGCCAGTTTTGCTTCTGAAAAAGGCTCTCTTGGGTAGTGCTCTCCTCGGTGCTGGAGCCTTGGGTGCTGGAGCCTTGGGTGCCGGAGCCTTGGGTGCCGGAGCTTTAGGTGCCGGAGTCCTCGGTGCCGGAGTCCTTGGCGGTGGATTGTACGGGGCTAAACAGTGAGTCAATTATGTCTAAGGAAACTGCCTAAAAAGACGGAATATCGAAAGTAAAGGAAGACAGGATTTTACGTCAAGTTTATAAATCAAGGTGTACATCTACAAAGTAATATAAAAATTCCTGCATTCTCGCTACGGCTACATTAAATCGTGATGTTAGAAGCGAGAAGTCAAACAAGTCTTTTTTTCGAGATAAATTAATTGTTTCGCATATTTTCATATTTGATTAAAGTACAAATTAATAAAATGTACCGAAGATTCCTTTTTCGACTAGCGGATTAATGGACAGCTGTCCATCAATTTTTCACGGAATGCTCGTGACTTTACTTGCTCGCAGGATCGCAGCAAATTGACGAAAACCATTACGGTCGAGAGAAAGAGAGTTTGTAATATCCTATCTATTTTTTTAAGTTAGGGTCTCCGATCCCCTCTCTAATTTATTGCAATGTTACAGTTACTTGAAATTTCTACTGTTCCTTAATTAAAAGACTCACTTTACACGCACGAGGGTTAATTTAATTTACGTGATGCTAATCGGATTTCATATTAAGTCTAACTATATCGAAAGTTTGCTAAAGATATTAGAATGAAAGTGTCAAGGAAAATGTTACATTTGTTTTAGCTTTGGTGGTGGATATGGCGGATATGGCGGATATGGAGGATATGGAGGATATGGCGGATATGGAGGATATGGATATCCCCATTATCATAGCTATCCCAATTATCAGTATCACTACCACAGCCATCCTCATTATCATAATTACCATCACTACGGTAATTATGGACCAGGTTATGGCTATTGGTAAATTGAGACTGACTTCCGATCAATGCATTATAGGTAAGAGTTTGATATATATATTACAAAACTATTATTTGGTGTTGTTCTGAATTGTCATTTTCCAATATAATGTATAAAAAAAAAAATTAAAAACATTACAAGGTGTTTCGTAAAGACCATAACAACGTTTAAGGAAATGCTATGACTGAACTTAACCGATGTTAATAATAAACTTTTTAACTTCAAACTCAGTTAATTCTTATCGTTCGCCTTCTTGTTCAAACGCATCTGTCCTTATCTAACATATTATCATCTCTTGTAAGATCCAATATATACTTCTTACTAGACACAATTACTGCTTTTTTAGGCCACTATTTCATTTGTGCGTTTTTATCGTATGAGAAATTTTTCAAGCCTGTTCTCAACTAGAGTATCTTTTAATTTTTAAACAAGAAAAAAATAATACTCGGGTTGACATAGTCGAGTTTTGGAACGCACATCCCTTAGATGGATTTAAATGGCAAAAGGAAAAAGAAAAAAAATTCAGAATGACACAATACAACGATTAAAAATCAATTAATTAAATAATTTCAGAAACAGAAAGAGATTCATTCACAGAGAAATGTGTTTATACGAGAGTCTTTAAAAATAAATATTTTTTAATTCTTTGCAACCTTTGTGGAAATACAAACGTAACATTACATAAACTTTATTTTACACATATACAGGGGAATCACCTGAGGCTGGCCACCCGAATAACACCCACAATTTTGGAGATAGGAAAAAATGTTTTAGATGAAAGTGGAACGGTTTCAAGGGAAACGTATTTTGATCATGTTATCTTTTTTCTAGGTGGAGGCGTCGAAAAGATATGACGGTCACCTCCACTTTTTTAAATGAAATTATATAATTTTTTTTACGTAATATGATTCCTCTACTACTTATATGACATATAAAAGTATTAGGGTAGAGATATAAAAAAACCAATAGTTTACGAGATATTTTATACTTTATTGTGATACATATTGACATAATGTTAAATAACTCGGTAAACTATTAATTTTTTGATAATCGTACCTTAATACTTTTACGAAAAGAATAATGAATCAATTGGTGAAAAGAAAACACATATACTTATTTTAAAAATTATCCATTTTTTGCACATATTTTTTGCCAGAATAAAATATATCTCGTAAACTATTGGTTTTTTGATATTTCTACTCTAATACTTTTATATGCAGAATAATTAGAGGAATCATATTACGTAAAAAAATCATACAATTGCATTAAAAAAAAGTAGAGGTGACCTTCATATCTTTTTGACGCCTCCACCTAGAAGAAAGACAATATGACCAAAATACGTTCTCCCTTGAAACCATTCCACTTTCATTTAAAATATTTTTTCCTATCTCCAAAATTGTGAGTGTTATTCGGATGGCCGGCCTTAGGTGACTCACTCTGTATATCAGAATTGTTTCCATATATGTATATCACATTATGTATGTATACAGGATGTTCGGTTTCTACCGTATTTTCCTTTAGGACGTATTCTTGAGATAATTTTAAGTCGAAAATTCGAATATGAAAATGTCGAGACTGTAATATTTTTTAAACTAGTAGCGATTAAATTTCACTAATCACGGAGCTGAGACATTTCATGCGTTCAGACATGATGATATGACAAGTAAAAATACTGCTCTATGAGGGCAACTTCAAGATCATACAAAGTATCATACAAAATATGCAATATTTTTATTAAGAAATTGTTTTATTGCTTCTATATGACAAATCGATTTCGTACAGAAGCAAAAACAATTTCTTAATAAAAATATCATTGTATATTTTGTATATGATCTTGAAGTTACTGAGAGAGCCCTCGTGGAGTAATACCTTTATCATTTGTTATGTCATCGTGCTTGAGTGCACGAATTAATGTCAGTCCCCGTGATTATAGTAAACTTTAATAACTATTAATTTAAAAGATATTATGGTCTCGATATTTTGGTATTTGAATTTTCGACTTAAAATTTTCTCAAGAACACCTACTTTTGTATACGAAAAATTTATTTTGTAGGCCCGTTTTAACAGCAAATAACATGAATTTTTCAACATTTTTTAATTTTTAACCGCCATTGTGCATATTATATCTTGATATTTTTTTTCTATTTTAGGTTCAGTTTATAGAGAGGGATCTCATAAACAAAGTAAAACAAAAAAAAAATTGAAAAATTCCAACTCGTTCATCCACAATCGTGGCAAAATCACAGCAGTGTGCAAATGGCACAGTCACTTTCAATTACTTATATCTCCCTCAAATATTCATATTTTTTGGATCTGACTTTTGCATCTGATTTTGTTCAATAAAGAAACCTTAAAGACATACTAAAAAGAAAATTTTCTTTAGAGTTCTTAAAAGGATTTCCGACACATTCAAGGATCACAGTACTACGAATATTTGTTACACACGAAGCGCATAGACTGCATGAACGCATCAGATGCATCAATTGTCTCAAGTGAAAATAGAAGAAGCAATGCACTGGAAAGAGTGCTAAGAATTCGGTACGGATAGTGCAATCTAGGAATTTCTCAGCGCTACCAAAGCGCACATTGATTAAATCGAAACGATTTTCTATGGCAGTGTTCGTATATTATCGCCAGTTGTTAGTACAGTATAGTATACGTAACTGGAAATATAGATATTTTCAATACTAGCAGTTAATTGGCAGTAATATACGAATATGGCCTATGCACTGTGGTCTATGCGCTATTTGCGTAACTCGGAACGCACCCCTAAACGGGGCTTTATAATACTTAGACTCGATTGCACCAACGTTACTTTTAAGCGTGACTTAAATCTCTCTCTTTCTGTCTCTATCGGCTTTAAAAAAAGATTTTTTTTAAGCTCCGCTTACAGTCAAAGCAACGTTAGTGCAAACGGGTCTTAGCGCACGCCTATACCCGGTAATCCCTGTGCGACAAGCGACCGCGACCGATGCGCGTATACTTGGCAAGTTGTCCGCGCGGATACGTGTTTATTTGGTGATCTTCAGAAATTAATATCTTCTAATGTATTATGAAAATTACAAAATGAGATAAAGGACTTTTCGGCTCTGTTCAGTCTATTCTACTTGCTCACGAGAGGCGATCTCGTAGATCGGGGACACCCTATATATCCTTCACTGACTTCAAAAAATGTCTTGTCAAGATAATAAATAAAAATAAAAAATTTATCTTTGCATAAATAACACATTTCATAGAAAATATATTTCATCAAAGATACAATAATTAAGATGCAAATAATTACAAGAATACGCATCTATCATGTTTTATACATTGTATGTATAAGGTATACAAGTGTATATAAAATATAAAATACACATTGTATATCAAACTAATATATTTAATTCTGCTAATCTGTATTGTCGTGTTTGAGGATTTCTGACAAGAACGATGTTAGATTTTTCGTTAATCATTCCGAGTAATGAGATTAATGTGATATATCCGATACCAATACCTTTTGCTTGACTAAATGAAAAGTTCCCTAGTGTTATATATCCCATAACTTCTCTATCGCAAGAATGACGAACTTCTGCACTTTTTGGAAGATATAATTCAGACATTTTTACCAGTTGATCAGATATAATTTTACGATGCGATGAAACGATTGTACGTTCATTTTCGTTTAACTTGTCCGGTTCCTTTAGTAACTTTAACGCATTGTTTTTCAACACTTGCTTCCGTCGAACTCTTTGTCGTCTTAGTCGTTTTAATATTATCAAATGATTTTTTCGTAATGCTTTACGAATTTTTTCGTTTGGATCGTTATGACATTTTTCTACAGGTCCAAACCATTTCTTATTAGTTTTAATCCTGTTCAAATCTTCGAATGTCGGCATGCATATGATAGCAAATTTTTTCGGCGATCCTTTTCCCACTATAGATATATGAACATGTATTAAACAATTTTTATAATCGTCTAAATTTGGAAAATTAGATTGCGTATTTCGAGCAAGAAATTTTGCATTTTTATTTTTGGCAGGACAAATACCTGCTTGTAAAAGTAGCAAGATTTCGCGATTTCTTAGAACATAAAAATCTTCGTTGCCCGACCAGTTTTTCATCAAATTTTTCCAATCGCAAAAGAAAGGACTACGAATTCCAAACTTGACAAAATTAATTCTTCTATTTGGTGGGCAACGGAAATATTTTTTAGTCAATTGTTCCTTTGTAATTAATGCTTCTCTTATGTAGGCAGGACTGTCAGGATCATTGACATCAGGTGTATTTGGATTCAAACTTTCAAAAGCTATCGATCTTGATTCTTGAAGTCCACCTGCTCTTGCACATTGCATTAAAAATGCAAGCCAAAATGGCATTGCCCATCTAGCTGGTACAACAACATCTATGCCAGAATCTAAACCTGTCAACATACGTCATTGCATTATTCTTAATAAATGATATTCAAAGAAAAAAAATTGAAAATTTAAAAATTTCGTAAGATTATATGTAGGATAAGCTTTTTAAATGTATAATCTAACTTTTTATTTTTGTATTTTATACATGTACGTATACGCGCGCGCGCGCGCGCGCGCGCGTGTGTGTGTGTGTGTGTGTGTGTGTGTGTACACATACATATATACATATATACAGAATGTCCCGAATTTAATTAATAATCAAACTTCGTGGAAGCGTGTAGAGGATTGATAAAATAAGAAAAAAAATTCTTTAGAGATATACTCGTTTTTCCTTCGTTTTGGAGAAAATCGCAAAAAAAAGACAAAACGCAGTTTTAATTTTTATACTTATTTATTGCTTATTCATTTACACTTATTGTTCACATTGTCACTTGCTTAATGCAGATATTCAAAATATTGGCCTTTTGCAGCAATGCACGCATTGCATTTTGTACGGAGCTCATGTCACAGTCAAACACTAATCTGATTAATGTAATGGATACGTTCGATAGAACGCAACAGTTTTGCAACTGTATTTTATGATTGTCTGCTGGGGTAAGATTATTCCTCTAAATCTAAAGATATAATTCAATCAGCGCGAAGAAAACTTCCAACAATTGGAAAATAAACATTCTGCTGAACGCAGCAAACAGAAAATCACATTTGGTATTTTTTTGCGTTTCTCTCCAAAATGAAGCAAAAACGAGCATATCCCTAAAGGAAGAAAGGACACACACGCACACATGTATTAATTTATATTTAATTATGTGTATACACGTGCGCGCGCGCGCACGCGTGTGTAATTTGATGCCTCATTCATCCAAACATGAATCACTAGAATCCATCCGTTTTTTTCTTCTATTCAAAATGATTAAAAAAAAATTCACCAACATACTTTTAACTTACTAAATAAATATTGAAATTTTATTTTGGAAAATAATAAAGTGTAGTATAATTTACAATTATTGGAAGACTCAAAGAAACTTGCAGAAACAGGAATTGCTCGGTCACTAATGACCCGACCATGTACAAACACAGTAAGGGTTAAATTAAAATTTAATTAAGTTTAAGTTGAATTTTAAATTTAATGAAGCTATATATAATCTAATAATTGAATTATATAAAAAAAGGTAGATTAGAAGATAATCAGACAAGTCGGTTAATAATACTTTCATGTCTCCGGAGGTAAGAGTATTTGAAAATTTAAATTATTGAGAATACGATGACGTTAGTTGCTCGCGAGTACGGTCATATGTACTAGTTTATCATCTAACTTTGACCGAAAGTAATGCTTCTTGTATATTTAGTTAGAATAACATTAATAAATTTCACAAAAAATGCGAGTAATATAAAATTATTGCCCATATCATATTCCTATCCCAAACTTGTAAATTTTTTATTTAAAATCTTTTTTTCTAAAATGAGAGAAAAATACCTACAAAATAATTTGGATATTATAGAAATTAAAATGGTCCACCTTAAATATATTCTTACAAAAAATATCAAGAATTAAACATTATATACCTGTGATAGTTCCCGGCTTCTGAATAAGAAGTATAGGTATCTTTGCCATAATGTCCTCAGTATAATATTGATCGTTTGAGACACCGGGCACAAGACATTCACTTCTGAGTTTGTTAATAATGTCTGTAGGCATACAAGAACTGCTTACAATACGACGTATTTCTGAATCCCAAATTGGAGAATAGTTAGAATTAGTTACTAGTTGATCAACTAGAATCGATCGAGAAAATGTTTCTGTTATTTCGGTATTACATTTTGTTCTCTTCTCAGGTAAATAGAAGCGGGGATCTAAAATAGTTACTCCAATAATCATATTTGTTGCCAAGTAATTTGGTGATCCCAAAGACATCAGTATTTGCCATAATTGTTCTTGCACCTTGAAAGCCTCCTTATTTTCTTCTTTTTTATAGTAATTAATATACCATGTATTTTTACCAAGTTCTGTATTTAGATATTTAGAAATCGTAATATCTTCATTTATTTTATCAATCACTTTTTTCTCTGTAGATTGTACATTATCTATTGATATTTTACTCCTTAATGAGTTGTCATTATCTTTCAGAATAGTGTAATCTGTACAAAAATCTAATTTATTTAAGGATGGCAATTGTAATGCTTTCGTTAGTACATTTAGAGTCAATGCCCCACGAAGCCGAAATCTATTTAATGCATTTCTTAATATAATCATTGTACAACCTACATTATTTGTGTACAAACAGTTCAAGTTATGGATAGTACTAGCTACATCTTGTTCAACATTATTCTGCTTAAATTCAAAACTTGATATAATTTCATTAAGAAAATCGTCATAAAAAGCAGGATGTACCCAGATCCAAATAGTTCTAACATTTGTTTGGACGTCTGATTTGTTTGGTTGCCAGAAAAAATCCACATTACCAATAGGAAATTGTGGATAACCATTTTTCTTATAAAACATTAAAGTACCTTCTCTATGACCATTAATATATTTTTTCGCTGTGAAAGTTAACATTGATGTGTTACAATGTGTTTTCAAAGTAGTCTTTAATGATTTTTCTTCTCCTGTTATTTCAATACAAGTATAATAAGAAATATCTTGTAGGAGACAATATTTTGTAGCGGCTCGATAATTAGCTCTAAAACATTTATCATTTGAATGACTAGCAATTCTATATCCCCATTTGTCAATCATGTAAAAACGTTTTGCATGCCAGATATGCGTTTCTAACCATATTTTATCGCGTTGTCTGTGATTATATTCGGAAAGTAAATTGCGTGGTCTTCTACGATACTTTCGAGACAATCGTTTGTTTGTGGATGGTAAATCTTTGCCATTTCCTGATTTTGCCATTTGTGCCAAATGTGCCTCTCGCAGTCTACGTGGCAATCTTTTGACATTATGAGACATGACACGTCTACGCATATATATTGGAAGTTTTTGAAATATTAACTTGGTCTGTTTAGGATTTTCTGTAAGTAAAAAGAAAAAAATAATTCAATCAATATGTAATATAATAATAACAAGTTAGATTCATCTAGATAGAATAGAATCACAGACTATACGGATCTTATATTTAAGTCCGTCTTAAGTATAGTTTTAAGATGTCAATCAGATAAACCAATCAGAGAGCCATATTAGTATCTAAAGACATTACTTAAGACGGTCTTAAAATAAAAATGGTCTATGAATACCGCGCGTCCTACGTGGTAATTAACTTATTGGATGAAAAAAAGAGTAAAAGGGGAAAGGGGGAGAGGGAGCGGAACCCTCCGCAATCACGGTGCTAGGTACAGATGTATATGCGAACAATTCCCCATTTTCCTACCATCTCATAAAACCAAAGTAAATTTCTTTTTCTTTTTTTTTTTTTTTTTTAAATTAAATCTTGCTTTGCGTGCAAACACGGAAACCTACGTGGAACCGTGCTTCGTGTGGAAAGTTTTATAACTTTTGTCGTCGTAAACGATTCCACACGAGTTTACAACTCTTCACAAATGGTTGGAGTAGCGCAGAACTTTTTTTAACATGTTTTTTTTTTTGCGAATATTTCATTGTGCTTTATTCACTTCAAAATATTAAGTTCATATTTCGTACACTCTGCTATAGCGAGTAATATCAAAAACTAATGCGCAAGTGATCACTGGCCATAGAGCGTGACCAGTATTTCGCGGCTGTGACAGGTTTTCTAACCTTAATAGTCATCAAATTTAACACTTAATATCTTGGTTCGTGGGACAGAGCGATGCTTTTTTTTGACCAAATTCATTCGTTTTGGACAAAAACGCATTGATTAAGCATAATTTCATCGATTTTTAAGAAGACATAAACTTAACGATTACCATTCGAATTCAAATATTTTCGCATACCTATTGAAGATGTCATCGCAGAAATTTCATGAGCTCGTGAAGAGACAAAGTTCATAATAGACACCTCATGTGGGAGTGACTGAAATTCTCCCAAGAACTCATCAAATTGTTTCTTCTTCATGGTGTCTAAATTTGTAAATATATAATACACACATGCACACACACACACATATATATATATATACTACGTACAATTTTTTTTTACGCACACCGCGGATCAAATATTTACTTCTCTCCGTAACACCAAGCTGACCAAACGTGGAAAATCAATGACCATAGAGGCTAAGGAACGTAGAAAGACTCGAGACTCAAGACTCGGGGAGAGTCAAGGCATAAGCGGGGAGCACAGACTCTTGCATAACGCATAACACGTAATGCATAAGAATATGTACCAATCGAAGTTCTCCGTTTCTTTCCCTTCCATATAATAGAGAACTCTGGTTGGTTCAATTTCTTATGCCTCATGTGTTATGCGTTAT